TAAGAACATACCGTGGAATGTCGTGGGCGGTGTGTTATGTGTAAGAACATACCGTGGAATGTCGTGGGCGGTGTGTTATGTGTAAGAACATACCGTGGAATGTCGTGGGCGGTGTGTTATGTGTAAGAATATACCGTGGAATGTCGTGGGCGAGGTGTAGTCTGCGTCAAAAGGCGTCTGCCACAGACCCCGGAAGTAGATGGCGTTAACCAACATGATGACGGTGCTGGCGTCAATAGAGCCAGGCTCCAGGAACTCGCTGATCTCCCCTTGTGTCTCGCTCTCCACCCAGGCGTTGATGGAGTCTTCTGGGTCGACTGCCTGTAGGTGTACCAGATTAATTAAAGAGATTAGTCGTTGTCGTTGTCATTGTTGTTGTCGTTGTTGTCATTGTTGTTGTTGTTGTTGTTGTTGTTTTTAAGGTTGATGTCATGTTGTTGTTGTTGTTGTTTTTAAGGTTGTTGTTGTTGTTGTTGTTATTGTTGTTGTTGTCGTCGTCGTCATTGCTGTTGTTGTTGTTGTTATTGTTGTCAAGGTTGATGTCATGTAGCTGTTGTTGTTGTTATAAAAAAAATTTAAAATGAATATTTAATTTACATTCTCTGACTGGAAAACTAATCAAGACGTCTTACATACTTTGCTTTTTCAACAACAATAAAGAAGAAGAAGAAGAAGAAGAAGAAGAAAAAGAAGATGATGATGATGATGATGATGATGATGATGATGATGATGATGATGATGATGATGATGATGATGATGATGTAAACAATAATAATGATAATAATAGCTGGACCAAAATTTGAAATGAAAATAATTTGTTCAACATCGTCTTTAATGATTGTTACTGAAGCCCCAAATGACATCGTTTAGGATGCTTCGATCCTGTCTACCAGGGCTGTTCCGGACGGGGAGAGATACAGTGTCGTAGCCGAAAAGTGGGTGGTTGGCGGGTGCTCTGTTGTGGTTTGCTCCCTCTTGATCTTTCCTATCTAACATCTATCGTTTTTATCACCCCTCCTCTTTTTTTGTGTGATATTAAGACTTCCACGCGTATGGGAATCGAACTTGCGTCTTTCGTGTACAAAGCAAAGAGCCTAACCCTATCCCTTACAATTTTACACCAAAAAAAAATCTGAAATTACGCAAACTGAGCCCAAAAATTAATGTGAAATTATGCGATTCTGTTAATTTTAACAAATAATGATAAAAGAAAATAATCCGAAATTATGCACACAAAAAAAGATCAAATTTTGCTTAATTATGTGGGGTGCATAAAACCACGGGGACAGATTGATGTCCCACCACAGACAGGAGACGACTCTCACTCAGGCATGACGACAGTGTTGGGGTTGATAGAACCCTGTGCCAAGACTCTCGCTTATCACCCCGATTTAGTAGTCTCACTTTCGCTATGGTTGCTGTTATAAAAAAACCCTCTTTATCAACATGTTCTGTGATTGATTTACCTCTATCTCTTGTCCAGTGGTGTTATAGAACATCCTCAAGCGGTTGGCGTAGGCGGGGTTGTAAGTGAACCCAGGCCTCACAAAGATGGCGTTGGCCAAAGACAGGGTGCTGTTTCCGTCACCCTCCTGTGGAAGGCTGGAGAGGTAGAGCCCCATAGCTTGGTGAACTCCTCGGCTCATGTGGAGTCTCGCTGCCAGTTGTCTATTGGTGCGACCTGTGTGTGATCATTTAAATTTTTAAAATTTTAGTAGAGGGTTTTACGGCGCTCGCAACTGCATAATGTCATATGAGCGCCAAGGGGTGGGTGTCAAAAGAGAAGTCTTTACAGAGAATCAGACTTACTCTGCTCACCTCTCTAGCTTTAACAGCACAAGGCCTGCTTCGACTATCAAGGCACCCTCGAAATAGCGAGTCACAAGAGAGTGACAAACATACCAAAGAAGTTGAGGAAAACGACAATAGTAAGGATTAGGAAAGAAAAAGCAGAAGTTCCCTGTTGTATATCAGGCAAAGTTATGAGCGTGACATGATGAATCAGCCCATTTACAATTCTACTATGCTTGAATGAGAAATGTCCCCCCTTTGGGAATGGCCTAAAGACACTACAGTCAGTTGCACCGCCCCGGAGGGTAGTGTGTGGTCAGAGTGAGGCACGGTTTTGTTTTTGGTAGTTAAATGTTAAGACTTTTACTTACGGCACTGCAACACAATACGGTTACATACGTGCCTAAGATTAATAATAATTATTATTACTTTTAATCTTCGGCACCTATTTGACCGTATTATTGTTATAATCATACTTGATCGAATTTATAAAGCGCTCTATAACATACGAGTAAACGCTCTGAGCACTTAGAACGCTTAGAGGTGCTACAAGAGAGTGAAGTGACAAACACGAACAAAGAGGAGGAGAGATTAGGACGATAGAGGTTAAATAGGAAAGAAGGGAAAAACCACACCAGAGCACCCACCATCGATCCAATAGATAGCTTTTTTGTAGCGTAAATCCCCGCTCAACAGCAAGCTCTAAGCGCTTCACAATCTATACTATTACCCCCGCAGACCCGAGAGAATTCTGAAACAACCTCAACTTCCTGGGAAGCATACAGAACAGTCAGCCATTTATAGGCGCTAAAACACTAACATACTGACAAGATCTTTCGCTGTCTATAGCCGGGTACCCATTTCCACCTGGGTGAAGTGGGGAAAATTTGTGAGGCAGCGTGGTGGAATCAGGCTCTCGTCAAAATAATCAAAGTGAAGAAACTTGCATTTTTCCGCAGGTTTGTGAATTTTTATCAAATTTTTGTTTTTTGGCTCAACACCTTTTATGCCCATTAAAGAACTCATTTCTGTGTGGATTTTTCTGAAAAACGTTGATTAAGGCACAAAAAATGTAAATTTTCAGTTACCACGGACTCTTAAGCTAAGGAAATAACTAATCTTTTGCGGCCATTTTCTTACTAATTTTACCTCTGAAAACAGGTGACCCCCACCTCCTTCATTTGCAAATATCTCGACTTGTATTCAAGATAAATGGATATCTTTTTCATCCAAATAAAGACAAGTTAACAAGCTTTAAGATGATACCAATAACTCCACACGCCTAAAAAAATTGACGAGAGCCTGATTCCACCTCGATGCCTCACATTTGTGTAAAGTGCCTTTCCCAAAGACACAACGTCGGGCCCGCGGCTCGAACCCCCGACCCCGCAACCTCACGATTACGAGTCCGGTAGCCCAACCACAAGGTACTCGCAAGATAGACGAAAATAACGTATGGAAAAGAGAATACAGAAGTAAGACCCTCGGGGTACATTCAAAACATCCACAAGAATAATGTCATGGAGGAATAAAAGAGTACATCAACAACAAAACAACAATAACTGTTAAAACAACAGCAACAACAACAACAGCAGCAGCTACAACAACAACAACAACAACAATAACAACAACAACAAGAATAAAAATAATAAACAATAACAAAAATAATAAGGAATTAGAGAAAAGGGGAGGAGAACAAAAGAAACAAAGTTTTCAGAAAAGGGTAGAGGAGAAGGAGAAGGAAAAGAATAAGGAGAAGGAGAAGGAGAAGGAGAAGGAGAAGAAGGAGAAGGAGAAGAAGAAGAAGAAGAAGAAGA